AGTATTTGTGCATTTAATGTCTACTTTATTTACATATTACTATGTCCGGTTTTTAATAATTTATACATATATCCATGCCTTGCAACGAGAGATTCAATTTTCTATTAGCTAATGATTGCTCATAACATTATTTAGGGTGTGTTCGGCACCCCTTTTTCCCAAACCATCTCTCTCGTTTTCCGCGCGCACGCTTTTTAAACTATTAAACGGTGTATTTTTTTCAAAAAGTTTATATACAAAAGTTACTTAAAATAATCATACTAATCTATTTTTTTAAAGAAAATAGCAAATACTTAAATAATCATGTGTTAATGGACTGCTCCGTTTTCATGTTACTGTTCCGGGTTGGGAACCAGCGTATGCGAACACACCCTTAGTTTTGTTGGGTCTGCTTTCTCCAGTTTTTTTTTGGTTTTTTTATAAGGGGCACGGTATGCGCATGAAGTAGGTGAGAAGGGTGGATGATCAACTCTGTTTTTATGTAGTAGAGATAAGTAGGCAAGCAAAGCATAATGGCGTGATTCTTAAACAGGAAAATACACATATTTTAGAAGATCTAACAATGCATCAAACACTAGGTTAGTACTAACCCTATACACCATTTATCCTAGCTTCGCCCATGTCCCAGCATGCCGCATGGATGATGGTCACGATGAAGGCACCACCACCTTCTCTGCCCGGACCACTGCCACTGCCATCTTCTCCGCCTAAACCACCGTTGCTGCTACCTTCTCCTCTTGGACCGCCATCGTCACCACCTTCTCTATATGGACCACCACCACCACCACCGCCACCCTAGAGGAAAGGGGAGGGAATTGGAAGAAAGAAGGAGAGGGGAAAGGGCATCTTGCACTCGAGGAGGCTGCAGAGCTCGTTTGCTCCTCAGCCTCCGCCGGCACGCGTTCCCTCAAGAGTTTTGAATCCACTCCCCATATATGGTTTATAACTCTAGATATTGATTCCATAATAAGGCCCAATTCCAACATACTACCTTGCAAAGATAATTCTCAGCAGCTGGTAAATATTTCCATGAATGATATTATATATGTATTATATGTATTGAGGAACGAGACAAGAAATATAATGCGACAATTGTACCATTATACATACGAATAAGAACTATAAACCATGTAAGGGCGTGTTTAGTTGGAGGGAAAGAAAATTTTTAGGTGTCACATCGTACGTTTCACCAGATGTCGGAAGGGGTTTTCGGACACAAATGAAAAAATTAATTTCAGAACTCTCCGGGAAACCGCGAGACGAATCTTTTGAGCCTAATTAAGCTGTCATTAGCACATGTGGGTTACTGTAGCACTTATGGCTAATCACGGACTAATTAGTCTCAAAAGATTCGTCTCGCTATTTCCCCATAACTGTGCAATTAGTTTTTCTTTTTATTTATATTTAATACTCTATGTATGTGTCCAAAGATTCGATGTGATGTTTTTGGGAAAAGCTTTTTAGGAACTAAACGGGCCCTAAATGTTAAGATCAAGCAATATGCATAGTTAAGACTAGGGTGCGGGCTGTAACCTCTTCTCGGCGCAATTGATGTCAGCTGTTTGTGCGCCGTTGTTCTGGGCCACCCAAGCGTCGTTGTTCTTGGCCGCCCGAGCGTCGTTGGCTGGTTGTTGAACTCGGGATGGACCCTGTGAGGATTGTCCGGCTGCGGCAGGAAAGCCGAGTTGAGGTACTGCATTTGTCTCGCCCATGCATCTCCTTCCGGAAAGGTTAATGGATTGAAAGTAGTCTTCCTGAGCAAGGAACCAAGTGCATTCAAGTGTTGGGCTGGTGTCGGTTAGAGTCTTCAGGTTCACGAGGATCCCCCAGATCATCCGAACGGATTTCGCCCTCTTCAGTCTTCATGCACGTCCGCCACAACGCCATCGATCATGTTCACTTCACTTGAAAAGTTGGATCTTGAAGACTCTTGATCGTTGAGGCTGTGTATAGCGGAGGGCTCACAAGGATCTATGCTGGCATATGCGATCATACAGTCTTGGGTCCTGCAGGGTTGTCGTTGTTCACACGTGCAGCTCGAGATTGATCTTGGTGTCGGTGAATCACACAACAATGAGCTCGGGTCGTAGATCTAGTAATCATCTAGAAGACCTTGCAGCTAGTAAGGGGGTGACTTTTTGGTTTGTGAATCAGGCACCACTCCTTCTATGGGATGTGCACGGGATAGCTCGATTTTCGCAGGCCTTGAGTTCCGCTTTCACATGAAGTATCACCTTGCAGTCGATCAAAGGGTGCTGCGATGTCTCGTGGATCGAGCACCAGGTGTTGTCGTTAGGTGGAGATTTCCTCATTGGCACCGGACCATTGTCAGATGTCATGGGCTTGGCCGCTTTTGGAATTTTCTGTAGAGCTGAAGTTGTCGGCGCCCTCTTTTCTGACTGGATGTGAGGAGCGGCCAGCGCTAGGTTGTCTTCCATTGTCCTTGCAATGTTGTTCTCGATCCTAACTGGCTTTGGGGAAGGCGAGATTGGAGTTGCAGTGAAAACAGGGAAAATGATGCATCCGACTTGAGTCCATGCAAACATTGGCTGGGTAAGATCTGCCAGGCCAAGAGGACTGTGGGCATACACTACTACAAAAACCCTCATAGAGACCAGCTCATAGGTGCCGGTTCATTTAAAATCGGCACCTATAGAGCTTTCCCCACTCCTCGAGGCTGAAAAATTGTAGAACCGGCACCTTTAAACACTGTAGAATCGGCACTTATACTATAGGTACCGGTTTTTTTAAAAGAACTGGCACATATAATATGTTATAGGCACCGTTTAATTAAAAAACCGGCACCTATAATATATTATAAGTACCGGTTAAATAAAGAACCGGTACCTATAGCTTTGAGCCGAGCCGTCCAGCCGATCGAGCCCATCCGCGCGGATCCACACCCGGCGTCCTTATCTACTCCCTCGAGCCCATCCGCTCTCGCATCTCTCTCTCCCGCATCTCTCTCTCTCGACATCTCTCGCTCTCTCTCGCATCTCTCTCTCTCTCGACATCTCTCTCTCTCTCGCTCTCTCCATCCGCGCGAGCTCGCAGGCGATGGGTGGCGGCGGCGGCGCCCTCCCCTCCGTCGGATCTGGAGGGAGGGGAGGCGGTAGGCGGCGGCGCCCTCCCCTCCCGCCAGATCTGGTGGGAGGGGAGGCGGCGGCGGCAGCCGCCGCCGCCGCCGCCCGGAGGAACGGAGGCAGCGGCAGCCGCCCGGAGGAACGGTGGCGGTGTCCTCCCCTCCGCCAGATCTGGCGGGAGGGGAGGCGGCGGAAGCGGCGGCGGCCGCCCGGAGGAGCGGAGGCGGCGGCAGCCGCTCGGAGTAGCGGTGGCGGCGTCCTCCCCTCCGCCAGATCTGGCGGGAGGGGAGGTGGCGTTGGCGGCCCGGCGGCGGCGGTTCGTTCTTTGGTTTTTTTTTATGAATGTTGTTTTCGATGAATGTGATGTTGATGCATTGTTTGAATGTGATGAATGTGATGAATGTGATGTATGGATCTGAGAAATCTTTGGGGGAAATTTGGGATTTGGGGAAATTTTGGGATCGGCTTGACGGCTCAATGCATCGGCTCGATGTATTGAGCCGATTTTTTTTTGCTCATGGGCGCCTCAAAGGTGCCGGTTCTATTTTTGCTATAGGTACCGGTTGCTAGTATTGGTGCCGACCTATTGGTGCCGGACGGAAAACCGGCATATTGCCAGTTTCCAATCGGCATCAATAGGCCTTTATGTACTAGTGATAGTTGTCGGAAATCCTTGAGCTTGAAGCCATCTCAGCGAAACCTTGAGCACCAAGTTTCTCTAGCTGGTGCGCCATTGTCGACGGGGACACCCGTAGACCGTATCTTGAGGGTATTAGGGTATATCAGTACGAGGATCTATATGAAACGATATCAAGGACTCCCTAAATAGTACTCTGACTCCGATTCGGGGAGATGATTTCCTTATACACTGTTAAATTCCATTATCTCTAAGGTAACCTTCCCGTATACTTAAGGGTATCCTTACCCATATACTTCATTACACAAGGATAGAAGGTATGCCTTATTTGTATAACCCTTAAAATCATCTATATGCTTAAGTGGATATTCCGATGTTGATTTTGCTGGTTGTCGAATCGACATAAAAAATACTAGTGGAACATATTATTTTCTTGGTACATCATTAGTTGCATGGTCTTCTAGGAAATAATCTAGTGTTGCTCAATCAACCACTAAATCTGAATATATTGCTGCTGCTAGTTGTTGTTTATAGATTTTTTTTGGCTTATATCAACTTTGAAATATTATGGTCTTACTTTTGAGAAAGTTCCTCTCTTTTACAATAACACGAGTGTTATTTAATATTGCTAAGAATTCTGTACAACACTCACGCACAAAGCACAAAGTTGGGTTTCAAGTTTAGTCAAGAGTTTTGTGAGGAGTACTATTGTTGCACTTTGTAAACATGAATAGAAGTAATAAAGTTCAATCTACTTTGAGATATCTTCGATATGTGTTTGCTCGTGTTTCGGTAGTCACACCGACGAGTGTACGACGGTCCGATCGGCGGCGGCGATAGGCGACTTCGGCGCATCAGCCGGTCAGACCGGTGAATCTACTCCGATCAGACCAATCTACATCGTAACGAGAGTAACTTTTAATTCCGGTAAAAGTTTGGTTTTTTAGTAGTTCGATCATTCACCCCTCATCTGGTTGGCTTAATTAGTTCTTTACTATACTGTGGCGATCCCACATTAGTAGTGTGTTCCACTTAATTGATTGTTGATTGAGTGATTTAACAAGTGATTATTTCATCCATTCATTCGCATATAGTACAACGTACCGGAGAGTTGATCGATCTAGCATGCCCGCGAGAGCATGCTTAGGTCACCAGTTCTCAAATTAGCAATTCTCTCTTTACCACATAGGTAAAGCATATCAAACCTTCTATCGATGCAAAATAAACACTCATGTGAACTTGGCGCATCTTTAAAAAAATCCTTAGTCCATATCATCGAATTGGTTCAAACTTATTTATGATGTTTGTATTATATTTGGGAAGTATAGGCACATGAGAAATATTCCCGGAGAGATGAAAATCCATCTATGACACAAAGTCATGGCTGTGTTTAGATCCAAACTTTGGATCCAAACTTTCAACTTTTTCCATCACATCAACCTATCATACACACACAACTTTTCAGTCACATCGTACCAATTTCAACCCAAACTTCCAACTTTGGAAGGAACTAAACACAACCAAAAACAGAAGGTACAGATGGTCGATATGATGGAGGTACACTCAAACAGGAACAACATAGAAACCAATTGCGTCAACATACGACGAGGTGCGTCCAAAGAAGCCAACTATGCTGCCATCGCTGTGCATTGGAGCCTCGAAACGAGTTCCGGTTCCTTGTCCAAAAGGTCCATATCTATCAGCATTGGTGGTAAAGTGGATTGACGTGATAACACTGGAGAATTTACCAAATGGACCAATTGTACCATATACTTTCGTCACGAATTCGGAAGGGCCAAGCTCAATCTGCAAGAACAAGATTATGAACGTGGTTGAAATACTTTTTATCTGAGTTTCAAGAAGAAATGAACGTAGAACACTGAATTAATGGACACCTACCTTATGAATTCTGCCTCCATTCCCGCCCCACGGACCTGCAGCGTGCTTGTGCCCATTCTTGTCAGCATATGTGAATGCAAGTGAGTCGACGACAGCACCACAACTAATTGTTATACTCTCCAGACGTTGGGGTTGCATAGTGATGTCGATGTCCTGAGCATTCCCTCCATTTCCACCCCACGGCCCAATCTTGGTGATCCCAGCCTAACAATCGATTGCAAAACCACATAGTGAACTTTAAAAATATTTCTGAAACATATATAGTGGGAAAAATAGTCTAAACTCTCAAAAGAACATTCCCTCGTTGTATGCATGTCATCCAAATGGTTATGAAAAAAAAATCAACAAGAGATTAATATATGATAAATCACTCTACAAACTTGCAAGTTAAAATTTAACTTTACAACTTGCAACGAAAAAACAAATTTGACTGCGACTATACGTTAACTAGCCATAGTTTAATTTGTTTTTTTCATTGCAATTTTTAGAAGTTAAATTTTAACTTTCAAAATGTTTGTAAAGTGATTTATCACATATTAATCTATTTTGTTGATTTTTTTAAAATTTTTTATAATCATTTGGATTACATGCAAACAACGAGGGGATGTGTCCTCAAGTGTTTAGAATCCACACCCAGATATCAATGATAAAAAGGAAAGGAAGATTTGAATCAAAGTATATGTGTGTGTGTATATATATATATATATATATATATATATATAATATAATATATATATGGCTGTGTCTCAAATGGCTGAATTAAGTCTATGTTGGATCCCTCAATTTCTTTTCTTTGACCGTGCCATGCCGAGCCAGCCCACCGTGCCGAGGGAGCAGCCCAGGCATGGCCCGGCTGTCGGGCTGAGACGGCATAGGCCCAATCCCAATCGGGCTGTGTCGTGTCTGGGCCGGGCCAAATTCCTATGCCTTATGCCGGGCCTCGGGCAGAAACAAACACACACACATATATAGACACACACACACCTACCTCTTGTTCGATCTTTTCTTGTTCAGGGTTGATATAGACGCCGATTGCATTGACATACAGATCTCCTCGACCGAAGAAGCCAATAATGCTGGCATTGTTACGCATTGGAACCTGGAAAGGAGATCCTTCTACTTGACCGAAAGGTCCGTAACTACGGGCATTAGTGATCAAAGTCAGCGATGTTACGACATCTTTTGCAAGGGTACTGGATGGACCGGTTGTTCCAGAAAACCCAATCAGAAACTCTGAAGAGCCAAGCTGAACCTGCAAAATATAATGCAAGCATTAGCACAACTAATGGGATGGATATATCAAGAAGCATAAAATAGGGCCATTTTTGCTTGGCTTCGAGAAGTGGAAACATGTATGGTTCCAGCAGTTTAGGCCATATCTGATCTGTATGGCTCTCTGGTGTGTTCTTTCCTACTTAATGTAATGGTTGGATAAAATGGACATATGCTTCCCGAGCTCCTAGACAGTGCGATTTAAAAAAAAAACTTTTTATATATTTAATTTACTCGGTTGTACCCTTGAATAATTATCACAATCATTCAGTTATTCAGCCATTTGGCGTAAAAGAATAGACTAAAAACCGAAAGCCTGATGTTTCAATAGTTTGTCATTTTGTCATTGACTGTGTATTTTGATCCATCAAATTGAGCAAGAGAATATATTTTTTTTGTGCTTAGATCCTAAAATTAACAAGTCCATCACTTACCGTATGAGTATTCCCACCAGGACGGCCCCATGGACCAGCAGTGTGCTGATGCCCGCTCCTGTCACTATATGAAAATCCGAATGATTCGACGTAGTCAGAACTACATATTGCCACACTTTCAAGTCGACATGGTAACACGTCGATGTCGTGTGCCTCCCCTTCATTTGCACCCCATGGCCCAATCTTAACAACCGCAGCCTCACAAATGCAAATAGATGAGAAGCCAAAAGTTAGAACGGAAATAAAAAAAAAATGAGAGAGAGAGACAGGAGGTGTACTAATCAACAGAGTACCTCATCTTCGTGTGTTGCATCCTGATTAGGGTTCACATATATGCCAAATGCGTCTACATACCAACCTACACGTCCAAAGAAACCAACAATGCTGCCTTTAATTTGTATAGGAATCTGGAATGGGGTTCCTCCTACTTGACCGTAAGGTCCGTAAGTACGGGTATTTGTGACCAAAGTAAGTGATGTTATAATAACACCATATGGTGAGCTAGCGATTGTTCCAGAAATTCCCGTTAGATACTCTGATAGGCTGAACTGAATCTGCAAGCATTTCAAGGAGAAAACATGGATTATAGCAGAAGAAACGGAAAACTAAGCAATTAGCGCATATGCGCGCGCTTTTCTTGGCTTTCTTGTGAGAATTCGGAACTAATCCCTCTATTAAAAATCATCGCAAACTTTTTAAAGTCAATGAGACGTGGTTTCAACTATACTCCGATTTAACTCTTGTTTATAAATAAAGTATTTTACATAATGACATATAATATATATTATATATGGTGTTGGACGTACGCATGCTGACCGTGGTCCGACGACTATATATTTTGGTGTAACTCTGATACATCATTAACATTCATAAGCCCAAAACATGAAACAACATTCCTTTTTACTTATTAACGGGGTAATAACTTTGACCAAGTACATTTACTCTTAACTGTATGTAATGAATTGTCTCTTAATATAACAGCATTCCTTTTGACTTAAGGCAGTAATAACTTTGGCTAACATTTACACTCACCGTATGGTTGACACCTTTATCAGGTCCATCACCGCCCCATGGACCTACTTTGTGCTGCTGTCCATTGTAGTCGTAGTATGAGAAGGCAATTGAGTAGATGACTTCACCACAACCGATCATCAAGCTTCCTAGACGGCAGGGTGCCACCTCAATATCACGATAATTACCTCCAATTCCACCCCACTGCCCAATCTTGGCAATCCTCACCTGAGCATATGGTAATGAAAAATTAATGTACTACTACGTCGTAAGACAAATGGGACAGCTAGCAATGCCACCACACACTTTTTAGTGGCAGTACTACTTAAAAATTAACACTAAAAAGTGTGGTATAAATTAATCTATATTTTTCTTCAGAAGAAGTTAATGTATATTGCGAAGCATTATCATTGTCATGGTGGAATCCTGGTGCAGGACTATCCACCAAAATTTAAATCATGGTCCACATAATTAAATATGGTTGTGTACTTGTGTGCAGCTAGCCCTAGTTGTTATATATAATTGCTTTCTTTTTTTTTTACCTAGTTGTTAAATAAAGAGAACGAAAATTATCGCTTCACTATCCAAAATAGAAAAAAAACATACATGGGGGAGATAATTTATACTCCTTCGGTCTCTAAATATTTGATGCCATTGACTTTTTCAAACATGTTTGACCGTTCGTCTTATTTAAAAAGTTTTGTGAATATTATTAAAGAAACTTGAGTAGTAGTAGTATATTTAACAATGAATCAAATGATAGGAAAATAATTAATAATTACTTAAATTTTTTGAATAAGACGAACGGTCAAACATGTTTTAAAAAATCAACGGTGCCAAATATTTAGGGACGGAGGGAGTATATAGTCGGGTATAACATTTTTGGGAAGTCTGCTATATGAGGTTTTCAGAAAGCATGCCTAGAGGTTTAGCAATACGGTGCGAATTATAATTCTTTTTAGTTCATTTGTTACGACAATCTGTTGCATGCCTTTTGCATTTGATTCCGTTTGGAGTGGGGGCACTTTTAGTAGATGATCATATATACCTTGTTCCAGGATGACATTGAACTACTAGTTTCGTCTATCTGTTTCAATTCACGAATAATATCCCGCATACTAGGTCTATTCTTTCTCTCCACCTCCACGCAACGTAATGCTATTTCAATGCATCTTTTTAATCGTTGGCAATCTTCTTCGGTTGATGCATAGTTTGATGTTGCCTCCATCCTATCCCTCCATTTCTTGCATACCTGCAAAATTGTAATACAAGCTATAGATGATAACATATACCGTTGTTTTTCTGGACAAAGTAACATACGAAATGTCTTGTAAATTAAATTAGCAAACATTCGTCGCCTGCCCATGGGGTAGAGGCTGTAGTACAAATCCTGCTACCTATTATATATAAAACCTATCATGCGAAAGTGTAACGTAATAATGGATAATATTTGATGAAATAACAATTGGATCTTTATCAAAGGTAAAAACTTTTCTTACAAGCTCAATAAATTGTTGGGGGGGCATGTCATCACATTTGGAATATCCCAAAGGACCTGCTATTATCTGCAGGATTATAACACCTAAGCTGAAAATATCATACTTATTTGAGATTTGGCGTCTCTGTATATACTCCGGTGGCATGTAATACCTGCATGGTAGCATAAATGCCAAGCAGAATGCGGTGTATAATTTCTTAAACAGGCACTGTTTGACTGATTACATAAAAATTAAGAAGATTGAGTTTAAATAAGAAATTTACTAACTCGGTGCCTTTGCAATTCCTGGTGGTATGAGTTTGTGTTCCACCGAAAAGCCTTGATAAACCAAAATCTGCGATCTTTGGGTCCATGTTCTTATCAAGCAGTATATTGGCGGGTTTAAGGTCTAGATGATAAATTGACTCTTTCAATCGCTCATGAAGGTAATATAAACCTTCACAAGTCCCTTTGATTATTTTGTACCTTGTGCACCAATCAAGTCCATGAGATTCTTCTGCACAAGTAGACAAAATGCATCTAACTTACGTTTTTGTAAAATAGGTAAAACCAAACCTCTGCATCCAACCGGATGGACACAGCCAAGCAAACCAACTAACTACAAGGTAAATTGAAGAAATCATGTAGTTCTTTCTGTAATCAAAGTGCAACGTACCACATAGATGCTTGTCAAGGCTTCCATTCTGCAAATATTCAAAGCAGAGAACTCTGTATATGATACTGGAAAAAACAAATTCTCCCTTGCGCTCGATATGCGTTTTATGTACTTGATAACAATATCCAATTAACCTTACAATATTTGGATGCTGAATCTTCATAAGGTTATTGAATTCATTCCTAAATTGTGTATCATCAATCCCTGACATATGATAAAGCTTCTTGACGGCAATTTCTGTCCCTGCTCTTTCCACTCCCTGTTTGTGATATATATCTAATAGATTAGTATCATATATACTCTTGGACAACTTTTGTTACACTTTCTTACTTTGTGCCACCTAGGTTTATCCAATGACTAAGGCCCTGTTTAGATCCCACCCTAAAATTTTACACCCTGTCACATCGAACGTTTGAACACCTGCATAAATTATTAAATATACGCTAAAAAAACAAATTGCACGGATTGTGACTAATTTACGAGACGAATCTTTTAAGCCTAATTGTTCCATGATTTAATAATATGGTGCTACATTAAACATTTGCTAATAACGGATTAATTAGGATCAATAAATTCGTCTCGTGGTTTACTGACGGATTCTGTAATTAGTTATTTTTATTAGTGCCCGAATACCCCATGCGACACCCAAAACAATATCCGATGTAACACGCCAAAACTTTACACCCTGGATCAAAACACTCCCCTAAATATGCACTGAAATTTGGTTTCAGGTTGAAATCATAATGGATGTGACGTGTTGTCGACATGCATGGGTGAAACACAGTGGCGCATAGTGTGGAATTTATCCATAATAAACATACAATCACAAAATAAGTTGTACCTTGTAAACTTCTCCATACCCACCACTCCCAACTTTTCTGCTGTCTGAAAATCCATCTGTAATTTCTTCTAAATAACGTAATGGTAAATCACGTGCCGTCATCCGTGAATGATTTCACTTCCCCCTGGTTGTTATTATAACAGTGTTATTTATCAGCCGGCCGCTTTCACACCCTTTTTAAATCCACTAGAAAATATTTCAAATATACAAGAAGATAAATGCACGATTTGTGTTTTTTCTAGGTAAAATGTTGCAACATGCATGGACCTTTAATTGCTCATAAGCAAAATCATCATTAAACCATGTCTCTACGCTAAAAATGTTGCATTCACAGAAAAAAAAAATGGTCACTATGGAATGCTAGATACGTGTTAGGTATATTTCGGGAACGTGCGACTAATTCATTCTTCGCCAACTCAACTAGGCTGAACCGCTATCAATACTACAAAACATCAAATAAATATCAGCACTATAGGTACCGAAAGTGATAAAACGACACATATAATGTCTTAGCCACCCACGCGCCGACCCACGCGTCCGTGAGCCCGGCAAAATACCAAGAACCGGCATCTTTATATCCTAATAGGTGCCACTTTATAAAAAAACAGCATCTTTTACCTTTGTCAGATATAGAAACCGACATCTTTTAGTTGGTGTGAGACACACCCTAGACACTTTTGTGGGAAAAAAATAGATGACTGTTCCTTTGTCAGATATAGAAACGGGTATCTTTAAGTTGGCGTGGGACCCACCACCATAGAAGCGGCACTTTTATTGGGAAAAAGAAATAGATGACGGTTCTTAGAGGAAGTTTAATAGTATAGCCAACTACTAGCTCCAAATAATTTATAGTGAATGTAATAGCTAATTCATACAATAGTTGTTTACTATACTATTAATATCTAATCCTACCTATCATAAACACATTACGTCTTGGAGTCCGTGCTGTAGCTGGCTACAAATCTATAGCCCGCTGCTTTTATCTCTTTTCCTTTACTGGATTGTTTAGCATATACTAAGGTTAAAAGAAAAAGAATATAATACCCCTTAATTAATAATACATAGTTGGATGTGGGATGGTGGTTAGGGGTAGAATGAGGAGAAATTTAAATTGGAAGTGGTTAATGTGACATGTAGTACTTCAAAATGACAACTATTTTAGAATAATTTTTAAATACTAGAAAGCCAAGTATCGTGGGACGTAGGAAGTATGCTTATAGAATGCTATTGTACGGTACCTGCTCTTAGTCAAAACCGACGCTTTTCATATATACTGTGTTTAGTTTCCCCCTATTCCCAACTTTCCATCATATCATATCATATAAAAACTTTTTTACACACGTAAACTTTCAACTTTTTTTTCTAAACTTTCAACTTTTTTTAGAAACTAAACACACCCATAATCCGTTGGTGTCTGGCTGTAAAGTCAAAGTGGTCAAAGGGGAGGGGAGATGTGGGTCCCGCGGGTCCCACTTCCTTTTCTCTTCTTTCTTCTAGTCTCCTGCTTCTTTCCTTCCTCCCTTATCTCTTCTCTGCTTCTCGTTCTTTTCTCTCTCTCTCTCTCTCTCCTCTCGCTCTTTCTTTCTCTTGGCCGAGCGGAGCAGCAGGGGCGGGCTGGCACGGCGGGGCGGCGCGGAGGGGAGAGGGAAGGGCGGCGCCGGGCAAGGAAGGGGAGGAAGGTGGGGGCGGCGGCGGCGGTGGAGGCCCTCGCGGCCGGCTCGACCTGGTGAGCTCTCTCTCTCTCTCTGGAACACGAAATGTCGTCTGCTCAGCCTCTATTAGGGCATCGATCTGATGAGGGCCTCCACCACCACTTTGCCGAGTTGGGATTTATTTCAGATTCTACACGTACCTAGCCCTTTGTGTTAGAGAGTATATAGAATGGAACCCTATAATATATAGAATCGAACCCTTTGTGTTAGAGATTTAAAATAGAATGCCATCTAATCTGTTTTTCTGATCTTGAGAGATCTGTCGATTTTTTTATATGATATGATGAAAAGTTTTAGTGTCAGCAGGTATCAAAGATTATTGTGATCTAAATGCAGTTGTCTACCTTCATCCAATGTTTCTATAAAATAAATTATGGGCTGCACTAGCTATGTAGTGCTAGAAGTGAACCATTTAACTTTCGCCGGATTGAAGTGAACCATTTACTCTGTAATGGCTTTGGTTTAGCTAGAAGTCAACCATTTTACTTTGTAAGGCCTTATTCGGATTAGAGGATTTCTAGAGGATTTTTGAAGGAATCCTGTTCAATAGGAATTTTTCCTTTCCTATCATTCGGATAGCAAAAGTGGATCACAGGAAAACCAAGGGAAACTTTCCACCGCCCTTGATTCCAAGGGAGAAACGCAGGAAAAAATACATGGACTCTGACCTCTTTTTTTCATTTCCTTCACGTAAGACCGAGGAAATCAAGCCCTAATCAGTTGGAGTGACATGATGGGACTAATATTTTATTGCTTAATTAGACTATAATCTATGAGATTACTGTTGATTGGAAAATTCCTATAGTTTATATATTCCTGTATTCCGAACGCTCCACACCATCAAATTCCTATGTTTTTCAATCCTACGTTTTGCACATACAATCCTATAGTATTCCTGTGTTTTTCCTATTCCCATGTTTTTCCAATCCTTTAGTCCGAACAAGCCCTAAATGTCTTTGGTTAAGAAAAGGTTGGTAACCATTAACCAATGCTCCCTGTATTTAAACATGTTGTCATTTAAACAGCTCCTATTTTGTCATGTCCTCACTATAAGAGTAATGATTATGTCTTATGGTTAAATCTAATGCTTTGTTGTTCAGCGAGAGTATGGATCTTTAATTTTATTCGCCCACATATGCTTATTGGTAACGCTTTGTTGGACTCCTGATAGGGCGCGCAATGCGTGCAAATTGTCTAGTTTAATTTGTGTTTTATTTGGTTGGCCTTGGCCCTATGCACTTATGCAGTTAACGTTTTCTCCAATGCGAATTTGCCACGTATTTGGTTGGATGTCAGGATGCACATTGCTGGGATTAATTTAAGGGATGATGACTGACTGCATCACTTCAGCTTTGACTTATGATTTTGTTTAATTTGGATGTTGGCACAGGGGCCGAGCATCCCGCATTGCAATAAGCAGACAACTGGACTAGTCCAAAGAGTTGTACATGAGCTTTTTCAATCTCTACAATCATCAGAAAGCATCGCTATGTGGAGTGTGAAGTTGCCGATGGTAAACGTTCCAGCCTCATGTTCTGAATTTGAACCCACATCACTAAATCTTTACTCACATTGATATGCCATTTCTCAGGTGGAGTATCTGGAATAAGTAAGGTCAGTGTTTGTCATGGGCATTGGGCTGGAAGGCAGAGACCCATAGGCAGCCCATATCAATTAAGTTAGGACAGCATTATTTGTTAAGTTGAAGATAAGATTAGATTGAGTTAGAGATAAGATTAGATTGAATCCTTACTTAGGGGTCAAGCTATGCCATCTATATAAGGATGGGATTGTGTCTATTATCATCAAGTAATGAATATCAATTAGTCTAACCTCTCCATCCCAATAATGTTCTTCTCCGTAGCCTAGATCTACATCCCTTCTCCAAGAGCCGACGCCACCTGGCTATCTTCCCGGCAGTGTTTATCCTGTCATGGCCTCGGGTCATGACAACTTGGTATCAGAGCCACTCACCATAGCTTCTGATGCCGAGTGAGTTCTCCGTGTCACGGTGAGTCATCTATTGTACCCGGTGGATGAGTATCTACTCCACCAATTGTTTGATGGCTATGGAGTAGAAAAGAAGATTGAAGTGCACCAGATGGGAACATATGTGGAAGCCTCTGTTCCGTTTCAAACTCGAGCAGCCGCTGAGCATGCTTGGAACCTCAACGGCCGTGCCATCTATGATGGTTGTTGGTTGGACATACAGTGGGAGCAACCGTCCAACAACTCCACGACACCGGTGACATCTCTCTCCATGATCATCACGGAGTGGAAGGAAGACATCAAGGAGTTGAGGGCTGTCCTGCAGGACTTGGTAGCATTTTTGCAGGAGGAGCTGGCAAAAGAAAAGGAAGAAGGGCGGCAATGGGACTAACGGTGACGCCGGCGCTTGATATGCCATCAATTCAGTCAATCCGTCCAGTGGCCTCCATGTCGTCACAACTTCAAGATCTCCAAGCGAGCAGATCTGCGTCACAGGCCATGCCAAGGCGGCCATCGACCTCTTGGAGTTGGACTTGGCAACGGCGTCATCGTCGGCAAGGTGGAGTGATGGAGGCGAGCAGAGCCGTTGTTGTGGGCCCACGAGGACGACGAATGATGGACGAACTATTTCCGCGAGCTCTAGATGCGGCAGCGGCGGCGCTGATCTTGGAGGTGGCAGTTGGTGGGTTGGATGGGCGGCACGTCTTGCTGGGCGAGAAAGAAACACATCAACGCCATTCTTTTCACACAGTAGGTTCGCGTCCTCATTGTTTGGAGGCGCTACGGACGAGAGAAGCTGACGATAGGGTTTTTTCTCTGCTTCTAATGGGCCGACAACTATTCATTTGGGTCGATCAAGTGGAGTGGCCTTCCAGTGCCGCAACTCATGGCTTGGCTGTTGGGTTGGCCAGGTAGACCTCGGCTGCAGACTAACGGGCCCATCTTGGATGTGAGACCTTGGCCCATCTACAACATCCAAGATATCATGTGAGATAAGTAGTATTAAATTTAAATATAGAAAAGTGGTGTTTGTTTTGAAAGAGTAGTGTCTAGTACTAGTTTCTTGATGATGTGGAGTTTATGTAAACTATGTCTAGTGTCTTGGGTTGGGACTAGCCGTAGAATTTATATGGAGTTGCATTGGTTCCAGGCTTGTGGCACGGCATGGCCTCGTCCTTTCTTTACGAGACGTAGGACGGGATCCACCTCCTGCTAGTAGAACATATTTTTTCGTATTGGCTTTATCTTCTATTCCAATTAATCTAATAAGTCGAGATGTAAAAAGCTTATGTTATCTTAGATTGGAGTCATTTGAGTTTAGAAGTCCGTGTTGCAGCTCGAGGACGAGCTGCTCAAAAGGAGGGGTATAATGTCATTGGCATTGGGCCGGAAGGAAGAGGCCCATATGCAGCCCATATCAATTAAGTTAGATATAAGATTAGATTGAGTTAGAGATAAGATTAGATTGAATCCTTACTTAGGGGTCAAGCTATGTCATCTATATAAGGATGAGATTGTGTCTATTATCATCAAGCAATGAATATCAATTAGTCTAACCTCTCCCTTCCAATAATGTTCTTCTCCCTAGACTAGATCTACATCCCTTCTCTAGGAGCCGACGCCGCCAGGCTATCTTCCTGGCGGTGTTTATCCCGTCATGGCCTCTAGTCATGACAGTGTTGTTGAGAATATTTTCTTATGCTTTCTCTGTACAGATTCGAATGTTAGAGAGTATCAAACTTTATTTCATTGTATCTCAGGGACCTTCTTGACTTGTCCAAAGACAACCTATAGATCAAGGAGAGTAAAACTCAAGGGATCTACATTTCTAGAGCAACAGAAGTAAGAAAAAAGTGCTTAAGATATGTCCTTGTGTTTTCAATTTGACATAGGAAATTTGCACCTAGGAATTTAGACTTAGGACATATATATGCAAATGTTTTCAATTTAGACTTGGGAAATTTAGACTTAGGAATTTCTGTCTTAGGATATATTTGCAAATGTTTAGGATTTAGACTTAGAAGGTTTTGAACTTAGGATTTTTAGACTTAGGTATATATATTTGTAAATGTGAATGATTTGGCTATGAATATGAATGTGCCTATATGCAAATGTGATGTGAATGTGAATGTGGCTCTTTGTTGGTGAATGCATGTGAATTGTGTGATTTGGATTATGTGGTTGTGAATATAAAGCATATTGGAATTGTCAGGTGCTGCTATTTGTATGTGAAATTGTCAGGTATTGCTATTTTTAATTTTTTTTTACCCAACATATAGGTGCCAGTTTTTCATTACAAACCAACACCTATTATGCTTGCCACGTGTCCCTTTTGGGCTAAAACCAGCACCTATATATGGGATTTATAGGTGCCGGTGTTTTAAAAAAACTGGCACCTATTAGGACAACCACATGGCTGAGTTGGAATAGGCACATTTCTCCCCTAATAGGTGTCGGTTCTAACCTAAAAACCGGCATCTATTACATATATAGATGCCAGTTTTGAAACCGGCACCAATGACCGAAGTCATCGGTGCCGTCTCCGTGGTGCCGGTTGGGAAATCCGGCATCTATTAGGGTTTTCCAACTGGCACCGATTAGGGTTTCTGTAGTAGTGTATGTGATAAATTATTCGCTAAATGATGTTGATATGAGGATTACGGATAGCATGTGCTAAGTTTCAATTACGGAATTCGAAAAAGAACCATAAATTTATATTATATATCATTAGTAACACCAAGTTTCACTTAAAATCTAAAAAGTTTAGAGTACATATTTAATTACTCATACATTTCATAGCTAGGAATAATAATAATAATAATAATAATAATAATAATAATAATAATAATAATAATAATAATAATAATAATAATAATAATAATAATAATAATAATATATAAAGAAGGCACACGACTATAAGTTATCCCATTTATACACGTACCAAGGACATGTTTATCAACTTATCATTCATTATCATTGTTGTAACCACTATCTATAGCAGTCTTATCTCTCTAGTTATAGAGAGAGGAGAGGGGTTTCGTCTTTTTAGGTCTCTGAAAAGCCAGTTCACATGCGATCCAATAAAGGAGGCAGTACTTCTGCCTGAATTCCTCTAGATCCTACCCGTCGGTATTACCGTGGAATTATGAGAAGCAACTAGTTGGTAGCCAGCTTCTAAGAATCTGAAAATGCTGGTTTTCTCAGCTTCTGGCTTCTAATTAATTTTTTGGATTGTACAACTATAGTTTATTAAAATCTAGAAAAATACTGAACTATTTGGGGAGCTTCTGATTTTGGGAGAAGCTACAGCTGCCAGAAGTTCTACCAAACATACCGTAGCGAACGCTAAATATTTGCACCTAGGATTAATTCTTGCCTGAATATACAAAACTAAAGCTGATTTCAATAATTCGTAAATCTTTCTTGACATTAACCATGAATGTAAACCCTACGCCCGACATAGCTAAATCAATAATTACGCAAACAAATTTGCAGGGAAAGATCTCTTTTATTCCCACCACAGATAGTAAGTAGGTGGAATCCGGCCAGAATGAGCGGTCGGGCTAGATGGTACAGGTGACCATACTATTCCTCTCCTCAATCTTTTATAGATGCTGGTTTGTCTAAAATCAACTCCTATAAAAAAGTTTTCATTTTTTATTAGGATTAAATTAAAAACGGGTACCTATAAACCACTCACTGTATTTATTTCAGACAGTATTCCATAGGACAGCATTTGAGTGTCTCCTATGGAAACTTTTCCATGATATGTACGGGCCGTCACATACAGCCAAGGCAGAAATAGCAGAAAACGGACTAGCCAAGGCGTAACCGCGTGAGTCAACAAAGCAAGCGTTATAGCGGATACTAAGTCTAGTGGCCGAATAATCCATAACAAATACTGTAGATATACTAAGACTTCACGACTCTCTTAGCACAATAAGATAAACACACTGAGTCACATTGAAAAATAGCGGATACTACGTCTAGTGGTTGAATAATCCATCACAAATACGGTAGATATGCCAAGACCTTGCGACTCTCTTAGCACAATAAGATAAACACTAAGTCACATATTGAAAAATTAGCGGATACTATGTCTAGTGGTCGAATAATCCATAACAAATACTGTAGATATACCAAGACTTTGTGATTCTCTTTGCACAAGAAGATAAAAGCTGAGTCACACATTGAAAAATAGCGGATACTACGTCTAGTGGTCGAATAATCCATGACACTGTAGATATGCTAAGACTTCACTACTCTCTTAGCACAATAAGATAAACGCTGAGCCACACATTGAAAAAAAGCATGTGTTGCATCACTACGTATAAAATGTGGAACTAATTAATGATGACCAGTACATATTAACATCTTAATTGTTACCTAAAGAAATTCAAGCAAATAAATCATCTATATTAAGCTAGCAGCACATCGGTACAAAGTTCATACGAAACAGTGGCCTTGATCTCATTCATATCCTAGCCCTATTGTGTGGCCATCCTGCAACTGGAATTTGGTATTGCATTCAATTATAATGACATACTCCTATGTAGATATCTTTTAATTAAACTTGGACCATCAGTATTTTCATAAATACATAGTTTAAAAACAAAACTAATGATATACGTAGATTTGTTTTGGAAAGTGCTATTACAATATGGTATTGGACTTTACAAACGTTGGCCCTGTTCGAGAACCCAACAAAGGGGGAATAAAGTTTTGGATCTTCGTGGCACGTTTTTCAAACTACTAAACGGTGCGTTTCGTACAAAAAATTTCTATATAAAAGTTGTTCTAAAATATCAGATTAATCCATTTTTCAAGTTTGTAATAATTAAAACTCAATTAATCATAAGTTATTACCACCTCGTTTTACGTAAAACACTTAATCTTCATATTTATTTTCACGAGATTTAAACAAAGCCGTTATATCAAATCCATTTTGTTAAACAAAAGATAAAATCTTAGAATAAATTGCACCCACGGTGTATCAAATTGACAGGTGGGTGCAATTTATTGCAAGAACTTGAAAAATAAGCGTTCCAGTGCAACAACTTGGTAGGTAAGTGCAATTTAGTATAACAATTTTATAAGTGACCACATAAATGCAACAACTTGCAGGGTAGATACGATTTTGATATAATAAATAAATTGTTATGCGGTAACTTAATTATTTGCAGTATATTTATATTTTTATCCTAATAACTAATAACTGAAAGTCAATTTAACTGAATGTAGAAATTATTATATTTGGTTGATATTTGAGAAGGTGAAGAAAACAAAAAAAATCTTAAAAGATAATTGAATGTAAATTGTATGTGCGGTATAATTCTTAAAGATTAAATTCAATATTATAAAATAATATCCGTAGGATTACTATGTGATGGCATATTGACATCGTGAAAAAAAATTCACCTAGCATATGCTTAGTCAAATTGATGCATCAAAATATTATAAATTGTTAAGTTCTTGTACTAGAACGTACCTACTTGTCAAGTTGTTGCACTCGGACGTTCAATTCTTAAGTTTTTGAACTATATCGCACCCACCTGTCAAGTTGTTGTAACATATATATAATTTACTCAAAATCTTATTTTCAACGTTAAAATTAATTCAGCAGAGGGAAGGAGTAGCAACAAACTTAGAGCAGGTAGAACGCGCGAGTCATGAAAATTAAGAACCAAAAAATTTCGCATCGATCGACAAAAACTGAGCAGCAAGCAAATGTGTGGAATTAATAACAACTAAGTAAGAAGGTAAAAGCTAAGTACAAAAGTCTCACCGGACTAGGCTAAATCAAGGCGGAGCGTGCAGGGTCGGATAGCGCGACAAACGAATGCAAAGTTGTATATATAAATACTTGCGCGCGGCTGCGATGGGGGGAAACCGCCAGGCAAACACGCGGGGGGCCGCATTGCCTTCCCAAAACGAAAATTTTCATGCTGTCACGTCAAATATTTGGACACATGTATAGAATATTAAATATAGAGAAAAAAACCAATTACACAGATTACGTGTAAATTGTGAGACGAATCTTTTAAGCCTAATTGCGCCATGATTTGACAATGTGGTGCTACAGTAAACATTTGCTAATAACTGATTAATTAGGCTTAATAAATTTGCCTCGCAGTTTCTTGGCAGAATCTGTAATTTGTTTTGTTATTAGACTACATTTAATACTTCAAATGTGTGTCCGTATATCTGATGTGATAACCAAACTCAAAATTTTTCCGCAACTAATTAACAAGGCCTTAGCCACGCTTCTCTGGCCTGACGCTTTAAGGGGACGAATGCAAAAATGAGCATATTTTTTTATGCGTCCTCTAAAAGGCCACATAATTTTCACATACGGACCCCTAAGTGATACAAATGCAAAAATACACTCTTTTCTCCATAGATTTTTTTTCTCCCCTCCACTCTCTTTTCCCTCTCAACACTTCAAATTTTTTTTCAACTCCTCCCCTCTCTCCCCCTGTCCTCTCTTGATTATTCTCTCCTTTCTCTTTCTCTCTTCTCCTCTCCGAGCAGGAGCAGACGCCGGCGGCCAAGAGCAGCTGCAGCGACGACGAATAGCAGATCCTCACGACGGTGTCTGCGAAAGGGTCGGATCCACTGCCCTTGGGAGCAGCTACGGCGACGGCAGGCGGTGGATCTGGCTGCGCCACCCTCGGGAGGGCCGGATCTGTCGCCCTACATAGCGGCTATGATAGCGGGCTGCAATGGCGCCGATGCAGATTAGAGTTTTGGATTTTTCAAATTTTTATTTTTTTCATCAAATTTATTTTCATAGATCTTTGAGTGCATGAGGATCACCCGTTCACATGAAAAAAAAAACACTTTTGACCGTTCGTAAAAATAATTTATGTAGTAATGAACTACTCAAGAGCGAGACACAGTGATACATCTCCTCAGTGTATGTCGCACTGTACGTCGGTAGTCGTGGTGCCTCACGGTTATATAGCTTTATAGAGTAGGCTATGGCTTCTTGTAAATCACAAATTCCACTGTCACATAAGACAACAATCTTAAAATTATACATCATAATAATACTATGAATTTAGACAGCTCAATCCTACATTGCTATATAAACGCTGAGATAGTAGTAAAATACAAGTAAATTTCCCGTTATCTGTTATTGATTTGAGCCTTTAGTTGAATTAGTTGATGTATATAAATCAATATGATATTAGACACATAATTTTTGAGTTTAAATTTTGACCTGTGCAATTAAATAAACTTTTTCAGCCTACTTTCATTCCACGTCGGATGATTGATACCTGCAATATAAGTGTATTGCCCGTATCCTGAAAACTGAGTTGGAGCATAATTGATGAATTGGTCTTTTCTTGTAAGCTCAAACTTTTGTGTGTGTGTAGGGCTGTCAATGAGCTGAGCTCGAGCAAGCTCGTCTGCCCAAGCTCGAGCTGAGTCTATTGCACCTTCGAGCTTCTAGGCAAGCTTGGTTCGAGCTCGTTCAAACTTGAGCTCGGCTACCAAACTCGGCCATAAGTAGTATAATATATATTTTAATGATAATCTCTTGATAAGTATAATTATTTTCTAGTTAATCATACTAATAAAAGAGTAGAAAATGATTAAAATAAATATATTGTACTAACACATGCTAATTTATTGTGTAAATAGATACTAATATATATTTATATTTATCTATTAGTTTATTATATTAATAAGGTGAACATGCAATATAAACTATACACAGTCAAGCTCGGCCTGGCTCGGTAGAAGCTCGAGCTCGGCTCGGTAAAGCTCGCGAGCTCTTGCTTAGGCTCAGGTTCGACTCGTTTGGAGCTCGAGCCGAGCTCAAATCGAGCCTAGGACGAGCCAAGCTTGAGCTGCTCGCGAGCCTCGAGTTTTTTTTACAGCCCTATGTGTGTGGATCTTGGTTAGAGTAGTACCAACATTAGACATTGTTAACACCCAATTTTAGCATCTATGTATGAAATAGGAAAACATTTCCGAATTTAGAAAGGTGGTTTTCATCACGGTGCCAGTCTGACTAGTGACATCTGAGTCGTACTCCGAGCCCAATTACGTCGGGTCTTGGGTTTTTTTCCTTGGGCTGAGGTTTTTTTTTTAAGTTCTAATTGATGTCTGCTATGAGTAAGATGTGGAGAGGAGGTCCTGTAGGCAGCAAAACAAACCCCTTTGTAAGGCTATGGCCGGTTTAATTGAGCACACAATCTATTTCCAATACAATATAACCAATTGAATTACTTTTTTTCAATATTGCATCTACTTTTTGTCTAGTTCTAGCCTAGCTTTCGTTTATTTTCATTGGTTTGTGCTAAAATCCCTCCGTTCCGCCCTCGAAACGGGTATTTATCCCTATTCGTCTAAATCGGCTCCGCTAGCTGGTTTTAACTTACATAACTCATCTTGATTTAGATTTTTCTAGATCGATGTGGTAGGCGACTTCGTATGACTGCAACATATTAGGTGTTTCTATCTTGATTGGCGGCGTGACCAAAAAGTTGCCAACAGAGATCACATATCATGTCTACGTCATGTATATGAAACTACTCGATCCCTCTGCTCTAAAGTACAAGCCTTTCTATGTGTTCCTCAAAATATTTCGAATAGAGGGATGTGCAGATATATGTTGGAAAACCCGTATAAATGCTTACATGTTAGAAGAAAGGAAAAAGTAAGAATTACCCCTCTGAACTATCACAATCGATCAAATTACCCCCATAAACTCAAATACCAGATATTTCACCCCCTAAACTTGTAATACCAGATACCCATATATTCTGTGCGCTCCCAGCGACACCGCTGTCCGTCCACTCCACCGTCCTCCTCGGTGCGGACCACCGCTTGCCGCGCCCTTCCCGCGACGCCGCTGCCCGTCCCCTCCACCATCCGCCTCGGCGTGGCCCACCGCCTCCACCATCCTCCTTGCCCGCAACCCGTCGCGCCCTCCCCGTGACGCCGCCGTCCACCGCTGTCCTCACTGGCCACGACGCTAGAGAGATGAGAGAGGGAGAGAGCAGAATGAAAAAGGAAGAGAGATGGGTGAGGGGGAGAGAAGCTGATAGGTGGGTCCCATCGATTTTTTTTTAAAAAATGCTGATTGGACTGCCACGTGTACACCATTCATAACGAAAACTGCTTTAGATTGAGTCGGGGGGGGGGGGGTAATTCGCCCGATTTTACAAGTTTAGGGGGGGGGGTAATTCGATCGATTGCGATAGTTCAGGGGGTAATTCGTACTTTTTCCTAGAAGAAACGATGTTCAACTTTATATGCAAAGCTTAGTTAAGTTTTACTACTGGGCTACAAACAGTTTGTTGGTTTACCAAACTACTAAAAAAACCCTGAAAGGGATTGGTCTTATAGGTGTCGGTTCAATAAAACTGTAGAACTGGCACCTATGGGCATTTTCCCACCTCCGCACGATGAAAAAAATATAGAACCGACACCTTTAAGCAGTATAAGTGTCAGTTTTAAAGAAAAACCAGCACTAATATTATAGGTGCTATTTTTTTAAAAAGAGCCAACACCTGTACTTGTATTATTGGTGTCGGTTCAAGAGGAAAAAACCGGCACCTATAGTATAAGTATAGGTGCCGTTTTTTAACAGAACCGACACCTATAAAATAAGTATAGGTGTCGGTTTTAAAAACCAACACATATTTAAAAAAACCGGACACAGAGCTAGGTCTTTATCCACTCAGCCACGCCAGCCACATCTCTCTCTCTCCCCTCCTCTCCCTTTGCCTTCCAACGGAGGGAGCGGCGGTGGCCGACGGAGGACGGGCCGTGGCCCTCTCCCAGCTTGGGGCCCTTCCCCCTTCTCACCTACTCCAGCGGCTGGCCCAGGTGGGGGCGGTCGACACGGAGGTCGGCGCACGCGCGGCCAGGTTGCGGCGGCAGCGACGGTGGTGGTTGTCGTGGAGGAGGCGCCAGCCCCCTCTCTCTCCCGGTGGCCCTCCCTCCTCCTCTCCGCCGCTCTCCCCCTTCTCCTCCTCTAGATCCATTGGCGGCAGCGGCGGTGGTGGTGGAGGAGGCTCGTGAGGTGGAGGCCAGCGCACGCACCGCGAGGTGGCGGCGGTGGTGGAGGAGGCTCGCCAGTTCCCTCCCTCTCCCAGGGGCCTCTTTCCTCCTCTCTCTCTCCCACCCTCCCCCTTCTCCTCCTTCAGATCCGTTGGCGGCGGTGCCGTTGGTGGTGGAGGAGGCTCGCGAGGTGGAGGCCGGCGCGGCGCGGAGGCGGGCAGCAGTGTAGGTGCCATCGTCTTTTTTTTAAAAAAATGGTATAGGTACCGGCTTTAGAACCAACACCAATAAGATTAAGGCAAAGGTGCCGATCAATAGGTACCGGCTGCGAAACCAGGGGGCTTTTAACTATTTGTGTAACATCCCGGCCTAGGGCTTAATAAGATTAATAGAATACTCATATTAACAAGTTACAACTTCTTTTCCGGAAGCCAATCTCCAAAGAACTCCAGGGTTAAGCGTGCTTGGCGTGGAGCAATTTGGGATGGGTGACCGACCAGGAAATTCTTCCCGGGTGCACACGAGTGAGGACAAAGTGTGCAGAAAAGACATGTGTTGGTCTGTGAGGGTAGTCTATGACCTATGAAAGCTATCAGACGTAAGCGGGCCTGGCTTGGGGGAAGACGGGATGTTACAAAATGGTATCAGAGCCGACTCTCGCGGTTTCACGGGCGCGTGTGTCGCAGTAGCGCAGGCATGGTGCGCATGGCTGGTGTAGACCGGGAGTGGTTA